CCCCCAGTGACCCCCTACATTTCAGAAGGGGGAGAAAACAAAAGTTTGAGGCCTTCTCTGCCCTTATTTGCATAACAAACACCTGCAGAGAGCCAAATACCCTATTTGTGATAAAATAAGAGTGCACTGTAATTTAAGAATCCTCTCCAATTAGAAGATGTAATGTCTGGTGCTAGAAACTTGCTGAGCCTGACTTTCTGGGGAGAAAAAATGGGATTTTGGGGTAAAACGGAGTTAGTTACCCCTTGTTGTTGCCACTCTGAAACTGCAAGAAAGCTGAAGCGTTCCCACTGCAAAATGTCCAAGTTCTTATCCCTTTCAGCACATCAGGTAAGTTTCTATTACCGTACTCAAAATTTTCCTAGTGCAGAGGTATCAGATATCCAGGAGCGTGAAACAGAGACCCGAGGATGAGAAAGTGTAACAGGAACCTCATTGTGACACTATGCTAGAAATGAATTCACTTTAATGGGAGTCCATCCTGGGATCTAAAGGTTTCGGTTCCTGAGCTACCAACATGCCTTGTTAAGTGCTGGCATGGATCCCAAATGCAGTATGCATCTTCTTTGGTTTACCAATCTCATTCTCAAATTCCCCAATGCCCATTTTTGTCTAGACTTTCCTTCTTCATATCTCCACTTTCTCTTCCCACTTTTCCCCTACTGCTCATCAAAATGGCTTAGAGCTTTGAGACACCAAAAAGTGGCTCTGGAGCTCTAAAAATACCAGCTTATTATGCCAGAACAACCACTTCAGGATAGTAAATTAGGGTGTTGTCAGTATCCAAAAAAAGTGCATGGGGGGGGGTAGGTAGGAATCAGTGGATAGCACTGAGCTTGATCCTTAAAGACACTGAAATAAATGTAAGGAAAAAGGCTGCAGTGAAAAGTCACTTAGTATTAGTTTCAGTGTCCTTATTTTTCTCCTTTAGGAAACTAATATGCAGAATTTTTGAATAAGGATAGGTTTCATTTTTAAAAAGTAAAAATTCGGGGCGCCTGGGTGGCTCAGTGGGTTAAAGCCTCTGCCTTCGCCTCGGGTCATGATTCCAGGGTCCTGGGATCGAGCCCCATGTCGGGCTCTCTGCTCAGCAGGGAGCCTGCTTCCCTTCCTCTCTGTCTGCCTCTCTGCCTGCTTGTGATCTCTGTCAAATAAACAAAATCTTAAAAAAAAATAAAAAATAAAATAAAATAAAAAGTAAAAATTCTCTGTACATTCACGGAGCTACAAGAGCAGCTTTAAATATCAATGTTCTTGTTCTGCTCTCCTAAGTGGATTTTTTCCCCAACACTCAAATTTAAGGAAAAGGGCAGATTTCAATCCTCATTTGAAAAAAGGGTAAGAGTTGATAGGAAGTTCTATGATGCTTCAGGACACGGCAATATTCACATTAAAAGTTTTCTAAAAAGCAAGGACAAAGGGTATTTTAAAAAGGTGCTTTCAAATTGGCTAAAATTCTTTGCTTTAATTATACATTTTGTTTATATAAAGCTCCCATCTTTTTTCTGAAAATGATTCTTCCGCAGTTAATCCAATCCCATTTCCCCACACAACTGGTTCTAGTTGATAGTTCCAGAGAGGGCATTTGTGGACCCTTGGACAGCAGAGAGAAAACCTCAGTGCCACTGTAGAGACAGACTTGGGGACTTGGGTGCTGCCAGCACCTGTTTCGGATTTGTGGAGATTAGTTCCAGAGAGCCAGCCACCAGAGATGGCTAATCTTGGGATTATACCACTCCAGGGTCCCAGTCATCTTGAGGCTTACAGTGGAGACTGGCAATGACTTAACTGGTCCTTCTTAAGTACAAGACATTCAGCTCTAGGTATTTTTCATGTTTCTCATTTAATCCTGAAAATCCCATGAGATAAATACCATTAGGTCCTCCCAGCTTTATAGAGGCATAGGGAACTTAAGTAACTGTAGTAGCTGAGCTGGGATTCAAACCCTTGGGGTCAAACTCCAGAGCCAGTGCTCTGAACTACATTATTATTTTGTCTCTAAGCCAGTGAGCAATTTCCCTTATCAAACAAGTTTTGAGTTTACTATTGTGTACTTTCAAATTATGTAATATATATGCATTGTAGGTATACTAAGTAATACACTAATCAAAGTAAGGAAAAATACCTGAAAGTATGTCCAAAGCCACTTTATCTTCCTCCTTGAACTTGCTTCCCTTCCCTTTCTCACTAAATGACATTTTCATCCTTACAAGATGAAATGAAATCTTGGGAGTCACTCTGGATCCCCTTCTTCCCAACTTCCACATCACCTCATTTTATATCCCAAACCACTTTATCCTACAATCACATATATGGCAGTTAAAATGGACAAAACCGGATCTTCAAATCAGTTCCCTTCTCTTTATTCCCACAACTAACGTCCGAAGTCATACAATGCCCTTAATCTTATTTAACCTTTTTGTGCCCTAGCATCTTCACCTGTAAAATGGGGTCAATCATACCTACCCTGCATAGGGCATTTGAGGAAGAAAGAGTATGGAAAACAGCACAGTATTCAACAACTGTTAGGTATTTCTTTTGGGAACTAAACTCTTGTATGTGCTCATGGAGATTTGCAATGCTTTTATAGCAAAAACATGAACTGAAATGAAAGTCTTCAGATGAATACGACTTCATATTTTTGCACTTCTCCAGGTGACTTTTCAACGTAATATAAATTCTTAGCGCGCGCGCGCGCGCACACACACACACACACACACACACACACAAAACCTCACCCCCACAAACCCAACAACCTTCAATCCCCCCTCCTTATTCCCTATTAGCAGATATGTTACAGATTGCCATGTATCTGAAAAGTATAGCACATTACACTAACATTTAAAATCAACTTCCTTGATTATATCAAATCAACTACTAGAACTTTAAGTTGTTAAAATAGCTCTTGTTCAGTGAATATTCAAAGGTACAAATTCATTTATTCATTAGAACATGAAAGAGTTAATGTATCTTATAGGTTACATACAAATATACATATTATTCATATTCCACTTCATATTAGATTCTTTTGCTTGATACCCAACTTTTATGTTGGTTTAATAAAACATAAAAATAATGCATATTGTAAGGATCAATTATAAGACAGCCACTCAGTGCTATCTATTAAAATACACACACACACACACACACACACACACACACACACACACTCACAGGAATATCGAAGTAGTATTAAGCACTTCTCTTCATTAGGCTTCTAGGGAATGTAGCCAACGTAAGCTTATGGGTGGGGTGTTTAAGACAAAAGAAACCTGAGTTGTTCTTTGTTAGATAGAAAAAGAAAATGTAATTATCAAGCCCTCATATTTCTTTACAAATATCAAGACTCATATTTCTTTACATTTTTCTTTCCAACATTTACCTTCATTGCCTAGTTAATTAAGGTTCAAACTTGAAAGAAGAGTAAGGTAGTATATTAATAGTTACCCTAAAGGACTACTTCCCCTTACTGATTTTCTTACCTTGCACTACTATCCATGTTGTTTACTACATTAATACCTGAGCGGTATCAAGTATCAGGTCCTGTTAGAACCAAGAACCAGATTTCTGGCTTATAAACGAGATATATAATTTGTTTTCAAACACAAAAGCAAAGCACAGGGAAGGGAAAGAGTAGTGAGGAATCACATTATTAAAACTTCAGAGGTTTTAGAAGTAGCTTATTGATAATGGTAATAAACTGCAGGTCAATATTCCCTTCTGTTCTCAATGGTATTAAACCTAGGAATCTTGCCACACCAATACCTGTCCAGGTATTTGAACAGATTTCAGGCCCTTTATGAGAAAGAAAAACTTCAGTTTTAAACGCTGACCAACATTTTTATAGTGGTATATGGTTTTCTTTGATCCAAAGGATTAGGCAAACTTTGTTACCCACACATCTCACTTCTTCAGTGGTATTGATGTTCATCTTGGGGGTAAAAAATAAATAAATAAATAAAATCAGAAGGCTTCATCACAGTATCTGACAAAATCTGATTAAAGACTTTACTATAAAAAATGACAAGGAAAATTAGGAAAATTTAGGACTATCCATACAACTTCAGGACAGGAGAAACATTTTTCAACATGACAGGAAATCCAGAAGACGTCAAAACTGACAAGAGTTGACCATATAAAAATTTTTAAAAAAGGTACAATCAAAAGATACCATAAATCATGTCAAAATATAGACACCGGGAAAAAATATTTGCAACACAAAAAATTTAGGTGTTATTATTCTCACTACAAGAATAAGTGCCAACTAAAAATTTTTGTAAAATTGGCAGTTTATAGATGAGGAAATGCAAATAGCCGTTAAGCATTAAAAGAATGCTCAGAAAAGATCATAGACATGCCAAATTAAAACATATAACCATCAGACTGGCTAAAAAAAAAAAAGGTAAGGTCAGTATTATTAATTTACAGTACAAGTGGGGATATAGGATAATGGTGACCAATGGGGAGAGAAAATCACTGCAAGCTTGACTTCAGTAATACATGGTAACCTCTATCTACTTAAGTGTAACTACACATTATATGTAAGAACATTCACTACATTGATAGCGAAAAAATGACAACCTAACCTACCTACAGCGGTTGGTTAAGTTGGGGAACCATTATACAGCAGGTGGCTATGCTACTGAAAATAAGACAAGGAAACAGATTTTACCATTAGAGCCCCGAGAAGGAACCAGTGGCCCTGCGTATACCTTTTCAGGTCAATGAGACAAATTAGAGTTCTGACTTCCAGAACTGATAGTAAATTTATGCTATTTTAAGCCATTAAACATGAAGCAATTTTTTACAGCACCAAAAAGAAACATACAACATAATAAGGGGTAATAAAAGTAGTATGTGGACAATACGGTCTCCAGAAATTCCCTTACTGAAGTTTAATATAGGAAATATTAACAGGGAATTTGGTACCACCTATGAACCCACTGTTGAGAGCAGTGCTAGGTACAAAAAGAGACAAGTAATAAATAGCCTAGTATAGATAGGATTTAAAAAATTGTTTTTTAATTGAGGTATAACTTGACATATAACCTATCAGTTTCAGATACACAACATTAATTAAATATTTAGATATACGGCAAAATGATTTCCTTTTCTCTGTATGAATTTTGGAGATTAGTAGAAATCTGTCTCTCACAACAGGATCTATCCTATTTTTCAGACAGCAGTTTCAACAAACTAGATTCTAAGTATCAAAATTTCATTTTAATGAAGCAGATTCCTCTTAGGCACCCCAAAAAACCAATTTTCATTTTTGTGGAAATACATAGTAAGTTTGAAACTCCTCAGCTCAAAAGATCTAAGACATGTACTCTAATGCTTTAGTATTATTTATAAACATGAACAGGATTCTAAGGTATGTGTCTATTCCCACTAGAAAATCAGATTAATAAAAAGTCTAATCACATAAAGGAATATAAAACTATTTATTGACCACTGTTTACCAGTATTTACAATAAAGTAAACAATATACAGTTGGATAACATTCTGACTACAAAGTTACTGTTTTTCCTGGTTTGTGCTGAACCAGTAACTCAAATACTGAAAAGACTGAGCCTACATGTCAGGAATGAACTGGGGTAAAGAAAAAACATGCAGGTGAAGAATTTGGATTATAGAAGCCTGTCCACCCATTTACTCCAGCAGATGCTAAACTGCCAACATCTCTAATCATCTGATTATGATTAGTTTCCATGAAGGAAGTTGTAGACAGTCCATGAATCATGACCTTTTAGTCAATACCGCACAGAGAATTTCAACTTCTTAAAAAGGAATGGTTCACTAGAAGGAACGTTTAAATGTCCATTTAACTAAAGTATTGCTTACCTAAGTAAAACACACAAGGACTTGTCTAGTTTTGTCATTTGGGTGGGGAGGTTGGTGGTGGTAATAAAATTTTCCTTTCAGGGATCTTGCAAATAAACTTGCGTTTATATGGCTGTAGAGAAGGATATGGATTCTGATATGGCTGCTTTTAAATTGTTTACGTTATATTTAAATTGTCCAATTAATTACAAAATTTGAAAGGTTAAGGCCTCAGGAAAAACTTCAGTTTAAGTGATTTATTTCTTAAAATGCTGAAAATGGTAGCATCCCGGAAACATGGGCTTATCCATGGTTATAAAATGCTGTTTTTGTTTCGGTGAATGTTAAAAACAAAAACCACTTATGTATGTATTTTAAGTATACACACAAAAAACCCCCTAAACAAACAAAAAACCCAGAATGGTCCTTAGGCATATAGGAGTTAAACACAAATTCTGACTGAGTAAAGACTATGAAGATTTCCCCCAACATTTAGAAAAGGTTCTCTAATGCAGGGGGATAATATATCATGGTCTCAAATATTCTTTTCTGATAAAGGAAGCAACTACAGAAAGCTTTTATTTGTTTAAAGTAACCAGTGCTATAGATGCAAAAACCCCAACAACTCCCCCAATACTACTTCAAAACAAACATATCAAACTTGATTTTCATTAGAATGTTATTTCTTCACACTAATAAATCAAAAAACAAAGACCCAGATTTTATATATATATATAAATATATATAAAAAGCAATGCAAACAATTATTGAGCTTCATCTTCTGGACAAGAATGCCAAGTTAGTCTCTCTTCATAAAAAGCAATTACAATTTGAGGACACTTCATGTTTGCCTCTTTTGCCAGCACCAAGTCTGCCTCATCTGAATCTTTCCTGTCGTGAGGGGAAAAAAAATGCTCAGTCAAAAGTCTCAACTGTTTTTGCCAACTGAGAATCTTTCACTTAAATCATAATTCAATCAAAAGGTATTTAAGTGCTTCAGAAGGATGTGATATTCGTGGCTGTGTTCCGGTAAAACTACATTTTCCAGAACAGACCAATCTTTGCTTTAAAACACCGTTAGCAAACAAAACCAACCACCCCCCCATGCCCCGAAAAAACAAAAATCCTAGAATCATCTTTTCAGCAGATACTATCTAATGAGGAAAACTACAGAACCTTTTCTAGATAAGGCTTCACAAATTAAAATAAATAATCTACTCTCACTTTAAAATATAATAGCAATCACCTGCACACTTACCATTTCATGAGAAACATTAATTCTCCACTGCTGTCTGTGGCACCAATTATTCGTTCAGGATCAAGACCTCTGGCAAAGCCTCTTGGTTTATCAGCCTGATTAAAAGATGTTAAATGACTATTTACATAAATGTTTCACCCACTTTCCATACTGCAAACTAATAATATTAATTTCCTATTTGTTTTCATGAAATACAGCTTTCAAGTAAAGTGGAAAAGAAATGACAAGAGAAAGAACCCTTATTTACTACTAAAACACAAATCCAGGTATCTAAAAGTATTCTGAATCTCGAGGCAAGAAAACAAATACCCTTCATTATCCTAATACATCAAAAAACAGTACTGTGTAGGCACACAAATTAATCCCTTTATTTCTGCTAACTCATCAATAATTATGAATTCTTTCTAGTTAGTATTTCAAATCACTTTTAGGAATTTGTTTAAATTATCCACATATTTTTAAAACACACACAAAATACAAATAGCAAAATAGTAAAAACTTCAAAAGTCAGACTGATCAGTATTGTCATCAATCTCCATTATAGTATTAAAAAATACCTAGCATAAACCACAGGTCTGACCCTAGAGATCCCTGAGACCTTTAGTAGGTGTCTGTTTATCTAAAAGGTCCCCCCCCTTTCATTTATCTTTGACTTTGGAGTACCTTCATATGCCTCCACCAAACAACATTAAGACAGCAAATCAAATGCAGAACTGTCTTAAGCAAGTCACTGAAAAGATGTGCAAAACTGTAAAATGCCACTCTTCTCATTTAAAGTTATTTTTCATAAGTTATGAACATACAATAGGTTTTGTCCTTCTTAACTGAATATACAAATGTTTCAGAACTTTGTTTTAATTTCTAACATAGTTAGGATTGATGGTCATAACACATGTAAATAAAAGTTCTCTGGCATTCTCAAAATTCTAGAGTATTAAAGGAGTTCTGAGACCAAAAAAGTTTGAGAACTGCTTAGATTTTTTTTTTTTTTAAGATTTTTTTATTTATTCATTTGACAGATAGAGATCACAAGTAGGCAGAGAGGCAGGCAGAGAGAGAGGAGGAAGCAGGCTCCCCGCTGAGCAGAGAGCCTGATGCGGGGCTCGATCCCAGGACCCTGGGATCATGACCTGAGCCGAAGGCAGAGGCTTTAACCCACTGAGCCACCCAGGCGCCCCGAGAACTGCTTAGATTAAGAAATCCCTTCTCCCTACCAGACTTTTCTATCAATATCCCAGGTTCTGGAGCCAGACTACCTGAGTTAGTTAGAATGATGACTCCAAACTGTACTAACTGTGTAGCTTTGGGCAAGTTAATCTCTCTGTGGTTCAGGTTCATCACCTATAAAATAGGAATAACAATACTATCGGTCTCATAGACATTTTGTAGTATAAAAAATGCAAATTAAGTTATGTAGAACACTGCTGGACACACTGTAAGAGCTCAGTGTAGGATAACTACTGTTACTAAACAGTGCTTCTGTTGAATATATGGTTGACTTTCAATTTACGCATATGGATTCTTAACACTGTTACCTTTTTGCTTTGGCTGCTAAAGCATCCAGAACCAAATTTGTAGTCAACCTCTGCTTCTCATCTGGAAAATGGGGATAATACCTATAATCTTAGCAGATCTGCCATGAAGATTTAACAGGTTATCTGTAAACTACTTGGCATCTAATTCAAACGATCCAATTTTAAACCCAAACACCTTATCAATAAATCTTTATTTTATGTTTAATTCCCAAACCTAAATACTAATTCAGAATCAAGACCGTTTCCCAAATTGCTAGCAGGCATGGGAAATACAATGTTTTGGAATTGAGGGTTTAAGCAAGTAGTTAGGTGTTTTGCCCAAAGCCACACACACATTAGTGAAGCAAAGACTGGATCAAAATACCCATGTAGTTAATGAACCAGCTGTCTCAATTCACACCAAAAAATATTTTAAAAATTTCTAGTACTAAAGCTTTATATACTTCAAAATCAAAATGTTGTTTGGCAATATTCTGAAAAAAACAAAGGTCACATGTGAAAGCATGTTCTGGTGGTCAATGTCACTGTGGTCTATAAGGATCTATAAGGTCTATCAGGATGTGCCATGTGGATTGTTTTTACTATGCTATAAGGGACTGCAATGATATAATCTCTGTGTTCATCGTATTTAAGACTGCCAGTCCTGGATCAAAGGAAATGGCTCTTATCAGGGATCAAATCCATGAATCTACTCAAAATAACACTAGCACAGCAATGTAAGTGGTATACGCACTTATTACTGAACATTTATATGACGGAGACTAGATCATGCCTATCCTTTTTGTCTTAAATATTAAGCATTTAAAATATTTGAAATTTTAAAAGTATCTTAAATGCATTCTAAAAATCAAGCCATCAACCTTTTACCAAGTCAGTCTGCCGGGCAATATCTTATACTTACAGCATCTCTCTTCTTCTTTGATTTGCTATCATCAGATTCACTGTCAGATAAAGATTTTCTTTTTGTACCATCTTTTTCTTTACCAGCTTTTTGAGAGTTAAGAAACGCTTCAATTAACTCTGGACAATCTAGATTTTCTTCAGGTTCCCAAGTATTGTCAGCACTGGGTTTGGTTTAAAAAAAAAAAAAAATCAATTAAATATGATTCATCACCATTATCCATGTTCATTTAACATATACATGAAAAAAAAAAAGTCTGCTATACTGCAGATGCTTACCATTTTCTCCCTATCCCCATATTCTTTTGAGAAAATCTGCTTATACTTCCTGGGTCTACTTACTTAGCCTCTAGTAAGTGGACAGTCTGCTGTATTACCCCCAAGTTGACTATACCTGCTCTAGCAGAATAATTGGAACTAATATTTTCCCAAGTTACATAGACAACCCACTTCAGAATTTCTCTGCAAAGGCTTTTGAAAAATGTTGATTCCCTATTCCCACCCAATTACTTTATCAGATCAGTTAGATTATGCCTCCGGTTGGGACCTTCAACACCATGTTTGAAAACACAAAAATTCTAAGGCATTCTATATGTGAGGCAGTATTTTCAACTTCTGCTGCGTACTCAAATTTGGCAATGATAAAAAGCAGGTGTTGGCAACCCAAAAGTCAAATGCAGCTTTTGTATGTTGGGCAACTAAAAATGTTTTCCACATTTTTAATTGGGAAAAAATTTCAAAATGACAATTATAGGAAATCAGGGCCCATTCATTAGAGCTGTCCTCGTTTGTTTAACGAATTGTCTACTGCTGCTTTTGTACTATATTTGCAAAGTTGAGTAATTATAAGAGGTCTACAGCCCACAAAGTGTAAGTATTTACTACATGATTCTTTAAGGAAAAAGTTTGGCAACCCCTGATATAATGCTGAGATGACTATTTTCATGTGTTTTTCAGAGAGACTGGAAAGAAAATGAGTATCAATTACCAAATGTGAATGTCAGATAATCCTACACTAGTGATGTACTTGTTCACTTTTTTTTAAAGACTCTATTGGCCAATGTGGAGCTCGAACTCACTACTCCCAAGATCAAGAACTACATGCTTTACTTAACTGAGCCAGCCAGGTGCCCTGTAGGCTTGCTAACTTTGTGTACTGTGATCCAGAAAGCCTTTACAGAACAAGATAGAATGAGATTAATCATTTTAGAGACGATGGAAAAGAAAGGTAGTTAACTTCTGGTTACAGCTTGGGTCTTCTGATATGCTAAGATGCTAAAACTGGCAAACCTGAATCAGAGGATAGAGGACAAAAGAGATGAAGCAGAGCCTCCATTCTGTAGTGTTACCTTCATTACAGACTTCTATATTACCTAATACATTGTACTGCAGATAGTAGGTTCTTAGCCATACTAATGGCCTTAAGTTTGAGAAAAAGAGGGAGACAAGAAGTTAAGTTCCTCAGCATTTGATGGGCTAGACAAAGACAAATAGCATTTAATGTCTCATGAGATTCCAAAACAAACAACAAAAAACCTATCATATGATGATAATCAATTTTTTGGCATACTAGCTAAATCTAATTTTAGAATAGTTCAGGAGTTATTTTGCTTTGTTCTGCTATCTGTAGGAAATTTTTCTCGTGGCAAATATGAACTTACACAGTATTTAAGCTCAACTAAGGATATTAGAAGGATAAAATAAAGAATCTTAAAACTTCCCCTCAACTTGTAATCCCCAAATTGCTATGGAGACATCTTTAAATGTAAATGGTGGGGCATGTAGTAGGTAACAGATATTCAAAGCCTAAATATTTGACTAGCACACTCTCCCATCTCTGCCATGCTCAGAAAACTGTTGTCTATCTCTACCTATCCATTTTCAATAAGTCACTGACCACAGAGCCTTGCTGTTTTTGTGGTATAAGGCAGAAAAATCAAAGTAGATTTAGCACATGATAAATGTTAAGTATAAGACTGGAATTTCTGCATGAGTTATTCACAATACAGCTAACATTATAATAATTGTAAGAGCAATTAGGAACAAGGAACATAAAGAACTAAGGAGCTTAAAAAATGCCCATACCACTTCTTAGGAGATTAGGATATAGTAAACCTACTGCCTGGTCTAAGTCATGGATGATAAGCACTTCTGTTCAACACCCACCAGTCTACTTTATATAGAGCTTCAATATTTTTAGTGTCCTCCGTAAGAAAACAATGCCCATTAGATATTCTAATCAGTACAATATCTAACTACACTAAAATGCACTATATAATAAACTGCACTCCTATAAATTTGATTCTCCAAGGCAATCAACTAACTTCAAATCTGATTGGTTATGACTGTAGGCTAAAAACATGACTTTTCATTATTTTTTAAATTTTTTTAGAATTAACATGTAATGTACTATTTGTCCCAAGGGTACAAGATGTGACTTTTTAAAAAGATCTCAAAGTACCTTGGATTAAAGGTGTCTTTACATGTAAAGAAATCTATGAGAAAATGGATTTTAAAAACCCAGACTAAAAGCAAATTTTAAATGTCACTTTGATGCAGTTAAACATATAATAAAAGCACCAGGTTTCTTACTCTGTAAAACCCTTCCACTTCAGGAAATACTCCACCTTCCCATTCACTACACGTCGGTCCAGTACTTTTTCCACCACAAATTCTTCAGGCTCTGCCTCTTCTACTTTTTTACTCTTTCCATTCTGTTTCTTTCCCATTTTTTGCTAAAATAAAACAAAAAAGACCTAAGAAACATCTTTTTTCATTTTTTGGTATATTTTAAAGACTAAATTATTTACATTATCGTTGCATCTGACATCTATATTTTTACTTCTATATCCCAGGGCAGACACATTCTGAAAAGATAAAAGTCAATAGATAATCAAAAAGAATACTTAATTCCATTTTAGCTCAAACCTATCACCCATCCTCATGGCTGAAATAATAAAAATAATCAAAAACACTATGTGGAAAATACTATTTATCTTTTCCAAATCTAATGCCTTACCTAGTCTACAAGACCAAATTTATTTATTAGAGTTTGCACTCATTTTAACTACAACACAGCAACAAACAACTAGAAAGTATTAGACAATGGTACAAAGAGAATAAATACTAATAAGAGACCTTATTAAGTGAACCATAGTCCCATTAAAAAACTATAGCCTCCAAACACTAACAATCCTATTTCTTAATACCAATACCAATTTCTCAATACTCAATACCAATGTCCAAAGTCTCAATTATACAGAAAGAGGTAAGTGCAGAATCCTGACATCAACTGTAGAGTGAACTAAGAAGACCACTAATAGGTTAAAAAGGACACTATTATTGTTCCATAATGTCTGTATATATTATTATAGATCACATGGAACAAAATTATAATGTTGTCACTTGAAGAGGCCAAAATACTGGATTTTAATTCTCTAATGTAAAATCCTCCTTTCTTGGTTTCTCAGGTGTTAATAGGTAGCCCAGGAAATTCACTTTATAAACAAATTTTTAAGATTAGTTTTTTCTTTTTTGTATTAACACTATGAGAAAAGCCAGAAGACCAAGCTAAAATCAGTATTTCCCAGTAACTCATGTTATGAATTGAAAGCAGATAAAACAAAAACCTGAAATGGTTAATTAGAAGAGACTAAGGGGGGTTATCTCTGTTAATTTTAAAATAATTTCAGTGGCGTTATTAAAAAAAAATCTCAATTGCCTAGTCATTAAAATCATACAAGCAGAAAAGTAACAACAGCAGTGACTCAATACTGCAAAAGGACATTAAAATTATGTAATTATTGAGAGGTGTACACACTTATAAAAAGTAAAAATTCTCTAGAATTTAAAATAACCCAGCAAACATCTGATTTTGTTGGATACCATCTCCAAGTTAGGCCTTACAATTTTCTTTCTTCTTATAATTTTCATTAGTCAAGACACTTGGGTATTGCAACCAGTCAGAGAGCTCTTTGCTTCTGTACAGTACAAGGAATGGTAGCAAGAGAAAAGAAAAACTGTTGTAGATAAAAGCCTATTTAATGCTGATCCTAAGTGATAAATTAACTATGTTCATGAAAGTAAGAGATTAATAGAGAGAATAACAAAAATAAACACAAAGTGAAAAGAATAAACACTAAGATTAAAAAACCTTAGCACAAAAATATGAAGTATTTACCACAGCACTCACAAGCTAGTCACAAGTGTTCACCTTTTTCTTTTCAAAAAACTCGCCCACATTCCCACCTAACCTAACACACCTCACCTCTCAAAATTCAAAGGTAGATTAAGAAAAGCTTTCAAAGTTGTCAATTTATGAGCCTTTAACAAAGGATCAGATATTTAAGTGTCACTCAGTTATGGACACTGAAGACTATCAAAACTGTCTGCCAAAGCAACAGAAGCATCTATGTTTGCTTTCTGTATCTCTATTCATCCTCAAAGCTGCAGGGACAACTAGTTCCTTCTTCCAATACCTGAAGGTCACAGGTAACCATATAGTCAATTCAATCATCTACACTTTGGTTTACTGCTTATGAAATCTGAAGTACAGTTCAATCCTGAGGGAGCACAGAACATGCTTTGTGCATTTTCCACTGATGGCTTTGCTGGGAATCATCTGTGCCACAGACTTTGTTTCTTATTTCAATGTTTCCCAGGATATTTGAGTAAAATGTGCAACATTATGATGGCAAAAAGTGAAAACTAAACTTGTCTTTAATGTGAAACCCAAGGGGAGAATATACAAACCAAAACCCAAATCTTTTGCTTTATTTAGATGTTAATACTGGCCTTTAATATGATTGCAATTATTGGTGAAATGTGTTAGAATTACTGTGAGAACATGAACTTTGAATTTCACAATTTTTATGTATTTCAGTGTTTTCAAAAAATCTAACTTGATATGCCTGAACATACATTAAGTCTTTACATATTCACAGAACTTTTAATAAAGTGTTAAGAATGCAAACTTAGGGTTTAAGAAAGTGGAGAAACAATTTAATTGCTCAAAAGATCCAGATCTAGTCTTCCTGGACACAGATTTGATTTTGTTTATTTTGTATTTAAAAAAAAATGGCAATGATTTGAATTTAAGGGGTTTATGTATTTTAGAATAAGTCTGAAACGGGACAACATGAGCAAAGTAATTGAATGACCTTTGTTCCAATCTAGGTGTATAAGGTACCTGTTCTTTAAGCAATACTGAAAATACCTGGTTTCTCTAGAATTCATCATAGGGTGAGTTAGGAACTGTTACGCCAAACAGCAAGGGCTTTATAGCATTGTCTGTTAATGCTTCTTCCATGTTGCAAAAGTTTATTTTTATTTCAAGATAAAAATACTTTTAAGAGTATTTATAAAACTCATTGTGCTATCCTCCCAAGATTAGGTTTCTCTAATTGGATTAAGACACTATTAAGCCAAGACAGTAAGTATCTCAATGTAATGATTTCGTTTTCGCCTCTAACTCTCCCCATTACAACACTGGGGGGAGGAGGACTGGGAAATACATGTGGATGTAAATATCTCAACTACAGAGATGCTAAGTTATAATTTTTGGGAAAAAAATTTGAGTTAGATCCTTACATATTTTAGGTTTTCATTAACTTACCAATGTAGTTTTATTGGAGGCCATTTTTTATTGCAGACTTGAAGAGCTATTACTAGAAAAATGCATGACAGTTAAGAAGTTTACATGACAGAAAAAAGGTAGCTAAACACAAGTTTTGTTTGGATTCCAACCCCCACCTATGCATCGTATACTGTAAAACTTGTACTCAAATCCAGAGATGCAGGTTTGACATCCTGCGTTATTAGGGATCTATCCTTACTGAGTACATCAGTGCTCTAACCAGGTGGGTCTAGAAAACCTTATTGGGTACCTAATATCTGAGATAGTTTTACAAAGGATAAAAAGAGCACAATTTTTTTTTCCAATTTAAATCCAATTTATGTCATACCCAGCCTTTTTAAGAAAATGGCCAAATAATTTGGTTCAAATTCGACGTGACCACCCAGTTACAATGATACATTATTGTGAATTTTCCCTTTAGACCTTTTAACAGTCCAAAGAGGCGCCTATATAACCCCAACTTGGTTTCTTAGAAACCCTGCCCCTTTCTAATCACTAGTTTAAAAACTGAAAAAGGAAAAGCACCATATCGAGATGCTTCAGTCCCATTTCGTGCCACTTTCAAAAAACAAACCACCTATTCTATCCGCTCCCCATAAGCCCCACCCTGCTTAACGAGGCCTAAACACCCGGCCCCTGCCCCCCACCCAGGAGCGCGGGCCTCGTGGTCAGCCCATCCGCGGGGAGAAACAAAGGCCGCGGCCCGGGGGCTCAAGGGCACTGCACCACCGGGCCCGCGTTCTCCCCGACCCGGCGGTAGCCACGTAACGGAGCGCCCGCCGCAGCCTCGGAACAGCGGGCCGCGCTGATGCGGGAGAACGCACCGCCCTCACTAGAGGCCCCAGTCGCCGACCCAGGCCGTGAGGGGGAGGAGGGCCCCTCATCTTGATCGCGGATGGGGGAGGGGAAAAGGAAATGCGCTTTGTCTAGAAATAAGGCGGCTGTCGCCACAGCTCTCTACCCGCTCTAGGACAGTCTCGCTCTCCCCCTCCCCCACCACTAACTCCAGGCGCCAGCCCAGCGCCAGGCCCGCCGCGGGGTCTCCACTCGACTCACCGCTGCTTCCCGCCAGCTCCCCACTCGGGGTCGGGTGGGGAAGGGCGGAAAGCGGGGAGCTGGGTGGCGGAGATCCCTGGGGCGCAGGTGGTATTTTAGGCACCACCACCGAAAAGAGAGAGAGAGAGAAAGAGAAAGAAAGACACCGACTTCACCGCCTCCGAGCTGCTCCGGGTCCCGGGTCTGCGGCGTCTCCGGCCCTGCGCGCCTCAAGCTCCAGCCACATCCGAGGGGGAGGGGGCTGGGGAGCTGCGCGCCGGGCAGCCGCTGGAGGGGGGGGGGGGGGGGGGGGGCCCCCCCCCCCCGGGGGGGCCGGGGGGGGGGGGGGGGGGCGGGCGGGTGCGCGCGCCCGGCTGGGGGAGGGGCCGTGCGCCGCGCCCGCTGGGAACCCGAGCCCGGGGCAGGTGGAAGGCTGCGGTGGCGCGGCACTTACCGTTCGCGGCGTGGCGCCTGGTGGTCCCCGGAGGGGAGGGAAAGGGAAGTAGAGGCGAGGACAGTAACTGATCTTCTAGACGGAGGCGTTTCTGCTTCGCAGCAGCAGCGCCTGGCGCCAAAACCGGGCTCCGCCCACTTCTCGCCCCTAGAAGTGGGTGCCTCCAAACGCCAGGGGTGAGGGAGTAAAGAGAAACTTGGTTGGGGAGAATTGGGAGCTAAGAAGGAGTGCCCCTCTCAGACCACTCTTTCCAAAGACCTCTCTTGAACCCGAGGGGTCGACTCCCAAAAACGTTGGTCAGAAATAGGTTGGTGGAGCGGGAACTGTAACGTGTTGACTAGGAGTCGCTTCGGGTGTTTCCGGAAGGGGCCGAGTCAGTCCTCAGCGCGGGTGGAGAGTTAAGGGAGGGAAATCGCGGGGGGGGGGGGGCCTCGGCCGCTAAGATTATTCTGGCGGGAGATCAGGGGCGGGGCGCGGGAGGCACGGATTATCAGAGGCTTTGCGGCGGGGACCACCTCCTGGGTTGAGGGGGCTGGACTTTAGGACTGTGCTTTAAGCTCCTCCCGACAGCGTTAATTTCAAACTGCGCGACCGTTTTTCACCTGCCCTGCGCTAAGGCGGGGGCTGGACCCAATTCCCTGAGAGAGAAATACGCAGGACTCGAGCCTTCCGCAATTCACTGAGACCATTTACGCAAGTGACGTCAAGCACTATTACTGGCTGTAAGGGGGGGGAGGAGTACGTATCTGGCGTAAGGAGGGCGTACAGCGTTCCCGCCATTGGCGGCGGTTAGGGCGTTTACGCAACGGCCTGACGTAGGGGAAGACGCGTTAGTCGGGGGGGAAGGTTCTAGAAAAGCGGCGGCAGCGGCTCTAGCGGCAGTAGCAGCAGCGCCGAGTCCCGTGTGGAGGTGCTCTTAGCGGTGTTGTTTCTCGAGCAGCGGCAGTTCTCACTACAGCGCCAGGACGAGTCCGGTTCGTGTTCGTCCGCGGAGATCTCTCTCATCTCGCTCGGCTGCGGGAAATCGGGCTGAAGCGACTGAGTCCGCGATGGAGGTAACGGGTTTGAAATCAATGAGTTATTGAAAAGGGCATGGCGAGGCCGTTGGCGCCTCGGTAGAAGTCGGCCACCCGTCTCCGTCTGAGAGCGGCGGTGAAATAGGGCCGCTTCAAATGCGGTTGGCTTCAGGATATTTTCGAAGAGGGTTCGTTAGCGGAGGCCTGATTGAACAGTACCTTCCCCACCCTCAGCCTGCCGGCGCCATTTCCCTTTGCTGGGGGTGGGGGATGGGGAACTTCCACATGGCGGACGCAGCCCTCCTTCGGCGAAAAGTGGGGCGCGGAGGCGGGAATTCTTACTCTCTTTTCAAAGCACGCTTATTTGGGGGGCCTGGCGTCCCCGCATCTGAGCTTTTCGGCGGGCTTCGGATCCTCCTGAGCGAGGCTGCGGAGCTTCCCCTCCCCCTCCCCTCTCCCGGGAACCGGATTTGGCGGCCGCCATTTTCATTCCTTTCCTTCCTCGCGGCGTTTTTCTTTTCAATCTCTGGATCCTGCTAAAATGACCCCTTTAACGAAGAACAGAAGTGGTTAACTATTTTTCTTTTTTTTCGGGCTGTTTTCATGCCGTTTCGAGGTGGATTCCGAGTGTTTTGTGAGCTTGGATCTTTAAAAGTCCTGCGCACCTCGTTAGAGTCCCTTTCCCTTCCCCTCGATGAAATGGCGCCATTGCGTTCAGAAGCCACACCGAAGAGCGGGCGGGTGGGGGAGTCGGTTCCCCGGGGCTGGTTCACACGGTTTAAGAGGAGGTAAAACTACCACCCACGGTGTTGGGCCCAGTTTTAAGTCGAGCCGTACTACAAAGAACATTTTGCTTTTCAACTGTCGTGGGGATTCCCCCTCCCTTTTTATTCTTTTCTTTTTTTTTTCTTTTTTTCTAGTTCTTTTTTTTAACAGTATTATCTGGGTTTGCCGTGATTAAAAAGCTAGTCGAATCGCAGAAAACTTTAGAAATAAAAATTGGGAGCCATTAAGTTAGTACCGACTGGGTGGCAGTGGGGAAGGTGGGGGGGTGTCGGTTTCACAATTATTTTCCTGAAAGATTTCTTTTGAACTGTAGAATTACTCGTATTTTAATATTTTTGCTGGGAAACAGTCTTTATTGGGTAATACCAGAGGTTCTTGAGCTACGGTAGGAATTAAGAGGAAAGTGAAAATTTTTATCTTCGGTTCTTTGGTTAAAACGTGGTTCAGTCCTTCGTTACGAGTTAACGGCTGGGCCATTATGTATTTGAACTTTGTCGTTTGCTTTTTTCATCTATGTTTGCTATGATGGTTGATCATTGTAAGAATAAGGTCTCAAGCGAAGGGGGCCTGATTGGGTATTTTCTTTGACCTTAAGCACACTTATAAAATAACTTTGTTTGTAATCGATAGTGGACATCGGGTAAGTTTGGAAAAAATTGAGGTAAGTAATGAGTTTTTGCCTTTTGTTAGTGATGTGTAAGAATTATTGTAAATGCTTTTTTTTTAACTGCGTAAATGTGGATTGTAAAAGACCTGTAAAAAGACTGACTTAACGCTAATTAGATAAATCATAATTTAAATACCAGTATGTCAGATAATTGCTTAACGAGTTGAGTATTTTGGGAGCTTCATAGTTTTTTTCACCTTTCAAATTTTTTCACAATTCTGAGAACTGCAGGGAAAAAAATCTTTATTAAATGCTTATCACTGTTTTTTGAGCTGTTTGGAAATTCATGCATGGAGGGAGATACCTCCATAGAACTAAGAGAGGTGTAATATTATTTGCTGATAATACTCTCTTATATGGGAAGTTCTATTTGATCTTTTATTTGTATTATACACTAATAATAGTGGCTCCTGGACATTATGACCTATTCTGGTTTTTCAATATTTTAATTTTTTAACCTAGTTTTCTAAAAACACTGTAACTTTTTTTTTTTAACTGACAGCCAGAAATACAGGGCTGTTAATGCAACATATTTGCTTGGTGGCTTAGAGTGCTTAGAATTTTTTTACCCATGTCCCCTGTCTCCCCCCCCTACACACACACTTGTAAAATTAGAGACATTTGTGTTGTGTATTTTGCCAGATGGCCAGTAAGGCCAGTACACCTGAGTTTTTGTGGGTGGTTGGTTTTGTTCCCTCCCTTCCCTGAAGTGTAAATCATAGCAGTACAAAACTACTGAGTAGTTAACAATGATCATTTAAAGTTTTATGGTTTTTGAAAGGTTAGATTACAGCAAACAGTTTACTGCATTAATGGTTCAGTAATAATTCAGATTGTTCTGTGTCCTGTCAATACCAAATACAAATAAGCCCACAAAAACCGCAGGTAGGTTAAAAACTATTGAAGCTCTGAATATCCAGCATTGGTCATAAGTTATTTGTGCCTTGGTCAAAAGGGGGGGGCAGATTTTATAAGGATGTTTTGGTACATACATTGAATGTTTTAAGTTTTTTGTCATCCCCCCCCCCAAGTTCTTCATGGAGAGTTGATATATGGGGAAAGATTTTTCTTGGTGGGGTTTCCCCCCCCCCCAATTGCGATGCATTAGAATCACCACCAGAGGGAGCAGAAAAAAGAAATGTGACTGTTTAGACAACTGAATCCTGAAATGGTAAATTATGGGTTATAAGTAAACAACAGTTTTTGTATTAAGAAGCGGTATATTTACAATGCATATTTAAAAGCCAATTTCTTTGTTTTGGGCAATAGGATTGAATGCAGATTTTGATAAAAGTCCTTTAAACCTTCAATGACCAGAGAATAGGTTTATTCCTCTTTTCAGAAAGTTTTAAGATAAACGGATGTTAAATTTATTCAAAATAATTTAATGTCATGTAAATTTAGATCGAGCATTAATGATTTTGAGACTTGTGTAGATCAGCTGGGGCAATTTTTTTGGTGTAACACAACTAATATGCAGTTTAACATATGGTTTAAATTTGATGTAAGTTTTTTTTTTCCCCCCCAGAAAACTTTAGAAACTGTTCCTTTGGAGAGGAAAAAGGTACTCTGCCAGCAGGTCACCTCATATTTAAGAATTTAATTTCCTGCATACAAAGAGGAAATGTAAATAAAAATTGAAATGGTGTTCTCCTTTGCAGAGAGAAAAGGAACAGTTCCGTAAACTCTTTATTGGTGGCTTGAGCTTTGAAACCACAGAAGAAAGTTTGAGGAATTACTACGAGCAATGGGGGAAACTTACAGACTGTGTGGTACGTTATGGAAAAGCGCCTGCAGATACTAGTCTTTAAACTGTTCGGTTACTGTGTTTAAGACGTTGAGTAAAATACAGAGAAAATTATTTTGATGTCTGTTCATTGGGGAAACTCCTAGTCTTTTAAATTGTTAGTTCATAACATAAGTAATGAAATGAGGGGCTAAAGTTTCCCCTTTGGTTTTAAGGTTATGAGGGATCCTGCAAGCAAAAGATCAAGAGGATTTGGCTTTGTAACTTTTTCATCCATGGCTGAGGTTGATGCTGCCATGGCTGCAAGACCTCATTCAATTGATGGGAGAGTGGTTGAGCCAAAACGTGCTGTTGCAAGAGAGGTGAGCAAAATATAACTGTACCGTTAATACAAAGAATATTCTGTCCCACTGAAGATTAGACTAACTTATGAAAGAATTAAGTTTTGGATCTTTACAAGCTCTGTCAGTTTTC